TTTTTTTTTTTTTTCAGGTGAGTGATATCATGGATCGAGGCGGGAATGCATGCTGAATTTTAATGCCACAGAGAAGTATCCCGGGGTGTCTAGGAGTCTGTGCATAATTTTGTTTAGATTTGTCATGCATTGTTTTGTAATCCGTTTACATACTTTTCATACTTGAACACCTTGTTTTGGATTTTAAACCTTTTACATAATGGCTAAACTTTTTTGTAATCTTATCTTCTCTATTTGTTTTTTTTTTTACGATTTCATTGCATAGTCGGTTGGTCCAGCCCTCGATTTCGAGATTTAAACCTTGGGCTGTGACAGTTTGGTATTAGAGCATGGTTTTAGGTCCTGTAGACATTAGGTTGTAGAATTTAGTATCTCTGTGGCTTAAGTTTCGACACACTCCGCCGCGATCTGGTAAGTTCTCCTGATAATTTGGAAGTAGGAAAACTTGAGTATATGTTATGAGATCTAAGATGGGGATTAAAATAATAAGGATGTGCTTCTTTTGAATTAGGCACAATGAGAACGCAGTATTGACTCTCACTCTCCGTCTGTTGACAGATAATGGCGCCTAAGAGAAGAGGAGATTACCTTGGGCCTGGTCCTAGGAGGGGCAGGAGAAGGATCGAAGAGGACCCAAATCTTCCTTTCCTCGAGGTGGAGCAACACCCACCTCTGGAGGAGAACCCAGAACTGACCTCAGATGAGGAACAGACGCCGCCACCAGCACCTGTGCCGAGGAGAGGCCGAAGGAAGGTCGAGCCTCGAGTTGTTCTAGAGACTGCTCCTCAGGATTAGGAATCTGAAGAAGCTCCGCCAGCGCCAGCACCGATTCCTTTGGAGTCTGCCCAGTCAACGATGACAGTTTCAAGGGATGAGTTTCAGGCTTTCATGAGAGCCACTAGGGAAACTCAGGCACAGATGACCCAGATAATGCAGACTCTAGTGACAAATCAGACCACTGTGCAAGGGACGAGGGATCCTGGTACGATAGTGGAGTCCCGTTATTTGAAGGACTTTCAAAGGTATAAACTGCCCACATTTGATGGGGGTAAGGTGGACCCGGTTACAGCTGAGGTGTGGCTGGAGGCTGTAGAGATAGCCTTTATGTACATGAAATGTCTACCCGAATATCAAGTTCATTGTGGGACTTACATGTTGAAGGGTGAGGCCTATTTTTGGTGGAAGGGTGAACAGAGGGCCATTACACCAGAGGAAGGGTATATTTCCTGGAATCAGTTTAAGGAGGCCTACTTTTATAAATACTACCCAGTGGTTGCCCGACACAAGTGTCAGACAGCGTTCCTAGAACTAAAAAAGGGGGACAAAACTGTTGAGGACTATGATCTGGAGTTTAATAAACTGGCAAGGTTCTGCCCTAAGTATGTCAGTAACGAGAAGATGAAAATTGATTGTTTTATCGCTGGTCTCCGGATAGAGCTCCAGGGTCTGGTTATGGTACAAGCAACTTCAAATTATGTTGTAGCCTTGAGAGTGGCAACAGTGATGGATATGGCATGACAGATGGCAAAGTAAAATGTGCCAGTAGTTACCACTCAGAATGTCTTTGGCCAACGAAGAAGACCTAACAGAAATTCTTTTAGATCTGATAGACAGCCTCGAGGGCGTTTTAAACGTCGAGGTAGAGCCCCAAAGTATAACAGACCTGAATGCCCTAATTGTAAGAAACATCACCAGGGAGAATGTTTTGCTGGAACACAAGGATGCTTTGGTTGTGGCAAGCTAGGCCATCGCATAGCTGGCTGCCCTCATAAAAGAAACCATGAGGGAAACAACCCTGTTGGACAGTATCAGAGAGGTCGGGGAGCCACACTGTAGGCTCGAGTTGTGGCCCACGCTATCACGACTAGGAAAGCAGAAGAGACTGACACAGTGGTTACAGGTGCACTACCTATCTTTGAGCACCTAACATTTACGTTATTTGATTTTGGTACTACCCACTCATTTATTTCTGAGGGGTTTGTGAAATCTACAAATTTAGAATTAGAACCCCTAGAGTTTCCCCTTACTATGTCTACACCAGCAAATGAAGCAAATAAATGCTTGACTACTACCCATAGGGTTAGAGGTGGTAGTGTGATAGTTGCAGGGCAAAAACTTGTAGCATTCTTGATTGTTCTATGTATGCAAGACTTCGATGTGATCCTAGGGGTGGATTGGTTGGGCGAGAATCGAGCCCTCATCGATTGCGAAGCAAGAAAGGTAACCTTTAGGCCCTTGATAGGAGAGAACTTTGAGTTCAAAAGGGATATATCCAGAAGCACCCCTAGGGTGATCACAATGTCAAAGGCTAGAAAAATGTTGAATCAGGGAGCCTGGGCAATTCTGGCTAGTGTAACAAAAGTCAGTAAGTCCAGTCTAAAGGTATCCTCTATTCCTGTGGTTGGAGAATTTGAGGATGTTTTTCCAGAAAAACTCCTAGGGCTGCCCCCTAATGAGAGGTAGATTTTGTTATTGACCCCGAACCAGGGACAACACCGATATCCAGAGCGCCATATAGAATGGCGCCTGCAGAGCTCAAGGAGCTAAAGGTACAGTTACAAGAACTTTTGGACAAGGGATTCATACGGCCTAGTGTCTCACCTTGGGGAGCCCCTGTACTATTTGTTAAGAAGAAAGATGGAACTATGCGATTATGTATAGATTACAGAGAATTAAACAAGGTCACAATCAAGAATAAATATCCTCTCCCAAGGATAGATGACCTGTTTGACCAATTGCAGGGTGCAACGGTGTTCTCTAAGATCGATCTGCAATCAGGGTACCACCAGATGAGCAGAGAGGAAGACATACCAAAAACAGCTTTTAGAAGCCGCTATGGACATTATGAGTTCATAGTCATGTCTTTTGGATTAACCAACGCTCCTGTAGTGTTTATGAAGTTGATGAACCGAGTGTTAAAGGACTTCTTAGACACCTTCGTGATTGTGATCATCGATGACATCTTGGTGTATTCTAAGTCTGAAATGGAGCACGAGGAACACCTGAGGAGGGTCTTAACTCTGCTGAGAACTCATCAGTTGTATGCAAAATTTTCGAAGTGCGAATTTTGGCTGCAGGAAGTGGCTTTTCTTGGACACGTGGTATCCAGTCAGGGAGGAACTGTGGATCCAGCTAAAATTGAAGCAGTCTTGAAATGGCCTAGACCAACCACGGTCACTGAAGGAGTTTTCTAGGTCTAGCAGGCTATTATAAAAGGTTTGTACAAGATTTCTCAAAAGTATCTACAGCGTTGACACAATTAACCAAGAAAGGAAAACCTTTTATTTGGACTCAAGAGTGTGAACAGAGTTTTCTAGAATTGAGGAAGAGGTTGGTCACCGCGCCTGTACTTACAGTGCCTGACGGATCAGGCGGACTTGTGGTGTACAGCGACGCTTCAGGAAAAGGGCTAGGTTGTGTACTTATGCAAAAGGGCAAAGTGATAGCCTACGCCTCTAGAAAGCTGAAAGAGTATGAGCGCAACTACCCCATCCACGATCTGGAACTAGCAGCCGTGGTATATGCATTGAAAACCTAGTGTCACTACCTGTATGGGGAGAGAGTTCAGGTGTACACGGACCATAAGAGCCTCAAGTATTTGTTTACACAAAAAGAGCTCAACATGAGACAGCGAAGGAGGTTAAAACTAGTTAAGGACTATGACATTGAAATACTTTACCACCCTGGAAAAGCCAATGTAGTGCCAGATGCCTTGAACAGAAAGACAGCCCACACATCTGCCCTGATCACGAGGCAGAAGTATCTACAGGATGAGATACAGAGGGCTGGAATAGAAGTCTTGGTTAGAGGCATCACCGCTCAACTAGCGTAACTTTCAGTCCAACCCACCCTCAAGAGACGTATCATTGAAGCTCAAAGATTGATACGCACCTCAGTAGGATTTGGGGTCAGCAAGAAACTGAGAGACCAGAGGGATATTCAGTTTCTTCTGAAGGGGGTTTGATATGGCAGGACAGATTATGCGTACCTCGGGATGAGAAGATCCTACAAGAAATCACGACTGAGGCACACAACACGTCCTACACGTTCCACCCTGGTATCACTAAGATGTATCAGGATTTGAAGTGTATTTATTAGTGGCCGGGAATGAAGAAGGATGTGGCTGGGTATGTGAGTCGGTGTTTGACCTGTCAGCAAGTAAAGGCCCCGAGACAGCGACCAGCAGGGTTGTTGCAACCGTTGAATATCCCACAGTGAAAATGGGAGGAAATAAACATGGATTTCATCGCGGGCCTACCAAAGACTCGACGAGGCTTTAATGTCATCTGGGTCATTGTGGACAGATTGACTAAGGCGGCCCACTTTATACCCGGCAGAGCTACTTACCGAGTGGACCAGTGGGCCAGGTTGTATGTCAAGGAGATAATCTGCCTGCATGGTGTGCCAGTGAACATTGTGTCTGATAGGGATGCTAAGTTTACTTCTACCTTCTAGAGGGGGTTACAGAAGGCGTTGGGAAAGAAACTCAAGTTCAGTACAACTTTCCATCCTCAGACCGATGGGCAAACTGAGAGACTTAATCAAACCCTAGAGGATATGTTGAGAGCATGTGTAATAGACTTTGCAGGTTGCTGGGATGAGCACCTGGCCCTTATGGAATTTTCCTACAACAATAGTTACTAGGCAACCATTCAGATGGCACCATTCGAAGCTCTATATGGGAGGAGGTAGGCAAGAAACAGTTGTTGGGGCCGGAGTTGGTACAGACTACCAACGCAGCGGTACAGAAAATCAAACAGAGGATACTCTCTACACAAAGTCGACAGAAGAGTTATGCAGACTCTCGTAGGAAAGATCTCGAGTTTACAGTGGGTGATCACGTCTTCCTGAAAGTAGCCCTCATGAGAGGAGTGTTGAGATTTTGGAAGAAGGGCAAGTTGAGCCCGAGGTTCGTGGGACCCTTTGAAGTCCTAGAAAGGATAGGGCCCGCGGCCTACAGACGAGCATTTCCACCCACACTCGCCGTAGTGCACAACGTATTCCATGTATCGATGTTGAGGAAGTGTTGGGTTTTATGTCCTAAAACTCATAGTTTGTAAACAAAGACATATTCTATTTTTAATAAAGTTATTATTGATGTTTATTCAGTAAACATTGTTACTGAATAAAGTGAACTTTACCATCATTAATCTAAATCCAATAAACTAAGAACACTCTGGCTAGAGTATGATTACTTAAACTATATGTAGAGACATAAAAGTAGATCAAGTTCAAGTATATAGTCAAAATGATCTATAGTATAAGGATAAGGCCGAGTACCTTATTCTGGGGACACTATGGATGCGGCCCACTTTTGTATATGATATAAACAATGTGATCACTAAATTGTACATGTGGAGACATGTGAGTGGGGGCGTCCTATGCAATGAGTATTGCATAAGATCGGATCATGAAGAAAATCACTCTCTTTATAATGTCGTTTACTGTTGAGACTGATTTTCTTTTCACTCGATAACTTAGGTAACTCGATCTTAATCCTGGGCTAACCATGAACTCCTGTTCATTCGGAATTATTCTTAGATTTGCATGGGTGAGAGTGGCTCGAGTTCTCCGACTCAATAGGCCTCCCATTTCAGAGGTAAGACTGGGTGAATAGCTGGGGACGTGGGGTGCAAGATGGAATTCTCTCCTACCCACTTTTAGGGATAGAAGAGAGGTAGTTCCCTTAAGTACTGACTCCATCTGCTAGCTCATATCGGACTAAACCATAGAATAGTGTGACGAGTGAGTTCGAAGTGTTCGAATTCAAATTAGAGAATATGCACTACATATATACGATATATTTAACTGCATTTTTGTTTTATTTACGAATTAAACAAAAAGAGAGAATTTAAGATATTTAAATAAGATTTAAATATCTTAATCAATTATGTGTCGGAATTGATTGGGATTGGCATTTGAATTAATATTAAATATTAATTAAATTGTTTAATTAATCATTTAATGTTACTCTAATTGGAAATTAATTATTCAAATTAATTGTTGAATTAAAATGAAGAAAATCAAAATGTTGACTTCATTTAATGGAAAAATCCATGTTAGTGGAATTTTGAAGTGTCAAAATTTGGTGAACTCAAACATGCATGCTTGCCACATAATCCCAAACATTTGAGTGGAATTTTGAGTGTAAAAATTTGGTGATCTCAAATTTGCATGAACATGCAAACATGACTCTCTAAATAGAGTGATCATGGTACATGGAAGGTCTTCTTCCTTGAAAAAGACCTTGAGAAAATTCTCACAAGCTCTCTCTTCATATATATTAAATCCCTCCCAAGTTTAGTCACTCACCGGATTCCACAATCCCGTTCTAAGGCCAGAGGATAGTGGAGAAGACACTAGTGGTGGTTCGTGAGGAAAAAGGATTTTGAACTACAAAAGGTTAGTATTCAAATTCATTAAGTTTTAATACTTATGAATATGCTAGTTATTTACTATAATTGATGTTCTAAAAGTGACTAAGATCCAAATTGCTACCGCATGTGTTATATTAACAC